AGAGAATCTAAGTTTCAGAGGACTGGGAGTCTAACAACATTTTTAGGTTATGGGACACGTCCTGGTAAACAGGGTGCTTGGCCTAGTCCAGGGGTAGGCAACCTTGGCTCTTTTATGACTCGTGGACTTCAACTCCCAGAATTCCTGAGCCAGCCGTGCTGAGGGAAAGGGAGAGGTTTCCAAGCTGAGTCATGCTGGCTCAGGAATTCTGGGAGTTGAAGTCCACGGGTCATAAAAGAGCCAAGGTTGCCTACCTCTGGCCTAGTCTCTGCGTAGGCCTTCTCTCGGTTTCTCCAGTTGGACTCATTCCCAGGGATGACAAAGAGAATCCGGGGTCAGGAGAAACACGACAAACCCATGTCTGGTCAGGGGAATTTTATAGCCCAACCCACCCTACGGAAAATCTAACTCTGCCTTCTTTACTTCTCATTCACGCCACGAGTAGACCGTTGGTGATGGGAGGAAAAAGTTGGTTGCCTCCAGGATGCGGGGGGGTGTCAAAAGCCGTAACAGTTCTTACTCATCAACTTCTTCATTCTGCTCTATTGCACCCAAACCATGGTTTCCCCAGAAAGCCAGTGAACACCAAGAGGAACAGACTGTGATCTTTGCAACCTCGCCCGGGGAGTTTTCTGCCAGAGAAGAAACATCTTGCTTGCTCCTCAAAAGAGAAGTGTCTACGTAGAAGGACCGAAACGGGGCATCCAGCTATATATTTTGCAACTCAAGGCCTTAACACAGCTTCATGTTTCTCTACATCAAAGAGAAAATACATATTCATAGGGGATTAACGTAACTTATTCACTTCCCCTGTGACATTTCTTTCCACTTTTGATTTCTGGACGTGTCCTACCAGAGGGACTTTCAAGAAACAGTTGCAAAAGTTGCCAGTGTAAAAAAAACCACGCATGTCGCTTTTTTCAGTGCCGTTGTATCTTTGAACGGTCACTAAATGAACCGTTGTAAGTTGAGAACGACCTGTACGGAGAAATAAGCCGCCCGTGGAGCTAACAAGCTGTGGGGAACCCAAAACAACTCTCAGTGTCTCCTCAATTTCGCCTCCCAGAACCAGGAAATAATTCTGACTGCCGGAAATAACTCCTAACTGCAGTGGAAGGAAAGGATTTGACAACGTAGGGGGGAAAAATTCCAGATACCGACACATCCAGCAGGATGCAAAGCAGCACATTTTTGAGAATTCGTAAGCAGCTGAAAGTCACAAGTTCAGCCAAGCTCCTTTCCAAGATGTTGCAAAATCTCGCCTAGTTTTAAAATCTTCCCAACGTTGGACAAGTAGCTTAAAACAACAACAACAACAACAACAAAAAGACCTGCACCCAGGAGGATTCAAAGTGAAAAGGAGATATGCACAACTACATCGCCTCCATTTAATCCTTGGCTCTTCTGGATGTCCTCTGGATGTCCACTCCAGGGGCAAGAGGACCACAGGAGGAGAGGGGGACAAGGTGGACTATCTACAAGAGGTCTGAAGCCACCATGAGCTCCTGCAACAACGGAAGGGATGAACCCCGCTGACTTTACAAGTGTTCATCCTTGTTCACTTTTCAGACCTGTGTCCACTTTTCAGCTCCCAGAATTCCTCCAGCCAGCATGGTTGGGAGATCTCAGGATTTTAGACCCAGAACAAAAACCTTGATTGAATGAATACCTCAAGCCGTGCCGGCTGGGGTATGCTGGGAGTTGAAGTTCACAGGTTTTAAAGCAGGGAAAATCGGACAGCTCTAGTCCGGAAGGAGAAGCTAACAGGAAGGTATTCCTTCCCTTAAGTGTGCAATCGAGGTTTTTGTCTGAGTCTAAAATCCAGAGATCGCCCAACCATGCTGGCTGGAGGAATTCTGGGAGCTGAAGTCCACCGGTCTAAAAAGTGGATAAGGTTGGAGACCCTTGCTTTAGAGTTGAGCTGAACAACAACTTCCCATGTGTTTTCGCTTGGAGCAAGCCACCCAGGGGTGCGCGAGCAGCTTCGCCCCCCCAATGTCAAGTTCCCAACTTGCCTGTTTACAGGAGAGAGAGAGAGAGAGAGAGAGAGAGAGAGAAAGAGAAAGAGAAAGAGAGAGAGAAAAAGAAAGGAAGAGAAAAAGTGAGAGAAAGAGAAAGGAGAGAGAGACAGACAGAGACACAGAGAGAGAGAGAGAGAAAGAGAGAGAAAGGAAGAGAAAGAGAAAAAGTGAGAGAAAGAGAAAGGAGAGAGACAGACAGACACAGAGAGAGAGAGAGAAGAGAGAGAAAGAGAGAGAGAGAAAGGAAGAGAAAGAGAAAAAGTGAGAGAAAGAGAAAGGAGAGAGAGACAGACAGACACAGAGAGAGAGAGAGAGAGAGAAAGGAAGAGAAAGAGAAAAAGTGAGAGAAGGAGAAAGGAGAGAGACAGACAGACAGACAGAGAGAGAAGAGAGAGAAAGAGAAAGGTAGAGAAAGAGAAAAAGAGAAAGGAGAGAGAGACAGAGACAGAGAGAAAGAAAAAGAGAAAAAGTGAGAGAAAGGAGAGAGAGACAGACAGAGAGAGAGAGAGAGAGAGAGAGAGAGAGAGAGAGAGAGAGAGAGAGAGAGAGAGAATGAATTGCATGCATGCATGCGGCTTGAATTAGAGGCCGTTTCCTTGCTGGAACACATCTGCAAGCTGCAATAATAAACTGCTGTTAAGCACGGCTGAGCATCAGACAGGGGGAGGAGGGATAACCAGAGGCAGCAGTTACAGATGTTCGCAACCACACAAAGCACAGGCAGGCTCCAAAATGGGACTTCTAGGGCAAGCAAACCTGGAACGCAAAACTCAAGTGGCCGAGAGATATGGAATACATAACATTTAACTTTCTGCTACACCCTAATAGGGTGTCTGGATTTTTGTCGCCTTTGGCATCCTAGCCAAGACCGTATCCTAAATCAACCCCCTCTTGACTTTGCTGGTCAAAAAGTCGCAAAAGGGGATCACGTGTGACGCCGGGACGCCACAACCGTCGTAAATATGAAGCCGGTGGCCGAGCATCTGAATTTTGATCACGTGAGCACGGGCACGCCGCAATGGCCGTAAGGGTGAAAAAAAGTGTGTGTCATTTTTCCCCCCAGTGCATTGTAACTTTAAATGGACTGTTGTAAGTTGCAAGCAAATGGTAAACTGAGGCAGACAGGGCTCCCTTCCTGGGCTCAGATGCTATTGTTAAAACCAAAACAAGTCAAAAAGGAAGGAAGGAATAGTTGAGGAGCACCAAGGTAGTCAAACACTGAAAAGACACCAAATGCAAATAACAACAACAATAATAATATAACAAAACACAGCGATCTGCAAATGGAAGCTAAGCAATTGTGGAGGAAGAAATAAATACCTAGATACATGGAAATTTGGAACTTATTCGATTTGAATATTCTGACGTTGCAAAACAACAACAACAACAACAAAACACCCCACTCGGAACCGCCGATATATTCAGACGTTACCTTAACAGCTCTTAGGGTCCTTGGTTAGGACTTGAACTGTTAAGTTTGTGCCAGTCCCAGATTGTGAATCGAACTGAAGATTAAACCTTAAATAATGATAATAATTATATTACAGGATTCTGAGCAGCAGAGACAATCATTTGCTCTGGCTGAGAAATACCAGCCCAAGTTGAACATTTGACCTTTGAAATTCAGTTAAAACCCGTGGAAATATAAAAGAGCAAAAGAGCAGAGAACGAGGAGGGAAGGTTTCGGTTCCTGCCCAAGGGCCACCTTGCTTTTTGGTATTTAAAAAAATAAATAAGAACCTCTCTGCCAAAGTTACACGGTAGAAGGCAAGTCTGAGATTGTTTTGGAATTTGTGTGTGTGCCCAGTGCTAGGCAATAATCAACACGCACCCAGTTGACAACGAAAGCAACATTTGATTAAGAGAGAGAGAGAGAGAGAGAGAGGGCAGTTCCCTGTGTGTGAAGGGCAAGCTAGCCTGCAAATTAAGGCTAAGAACAATACCCCAGAGCAAAACAGCCTGTGAGATTATATCAGTGCAATCAATTGCTGATGCATTGGGGCTTATTATTGCATTTAAAGGCGTGAGAGAGCGACAGAGACAGAGAGAAGATGAAAGAAAGGGAGGGAGAGAGAGAAGGAAGGAAGGAGAGAGAAGGAGAGATGGAAGGATAAGAGAAAGGAGAGAAGAGGAGAGGAGAAGAGAAAAGGGAGAGGAGAGGAGAGGAGAAAAGAGGAGAGAAGAGAGGAGAAGAGAAGAAAAGAGAAAAGGGAGAAGAGAGGAAAAGAGAAGAGAAGAGGGAGGAGAGGAGAGAAGAGAAGAGAAGAGAAGAGAAGAGAAGAGAAGAGAAGAGAAGAGAAGAGAAGAGGTCACACAACATTTAAGATTTAGTTTCCGGGTCAGTGCAAAACCTGGAAGGGGGCAAATGGCCAGGAGGAGGGGAGAGAAAACCCAGAATAATTTCCAAGTCTTGAACACCCCTCTATATATCAACACAGAAGCTCACTGGATCAACACACAACACAGGAACATAGAAAGGGACCTTGGAGGTCGGAGGTCTTCTACTCCAACCCCCTGCTCAAACAGGAGACCCTACACCATTGCAGACCAACGGCTGTCCAGTCTGTCCAGTCACTGAGAAGATTCTTGGGAAGACGCGTTCAACGATTGCGCAATCCAAGGATTGCACATACCACATCGCGGGCAGAATGTGGGATCTGCAGTCACTTGCTTGAAGAAAAGGGACAGGAAGGGGACAGCTGACCCAGACATATTGGCTTACGCACACACAATGCCCTACAATTGAGCAGGGGCGATTTGATTGGCTGCTGGGTTTTCCTCTCACAACTCTTGACGGTCCCACCATGGACAAGATGTTAGATGTATAGACCGAGGTTGCTCTATCAAGCTAAAAGAAGACCCTTGGGTTTGCTTCAACCGCCATTCTTGGTCCCTGCTCTAGAGAGCAACCAAGAGAGGAGGACAGGTAAAATAATACCCTACCCCTCCCCCCCTCCCCAAATCCCATTTCTTGCTTACCTGGAAGACAAGGTGACAAAGTCGCCGCCGTCCAACAGTCGAATTTTGCAGAACAGCATGCCGTTCACAAAAGGCACGGCCGTCAGCTCTTCCAAGGTGAAGCTGATCTGAAACTTGAATTTCTTCTTCTTCATCAAGAAAGCCATGGGGCACCTTGCGACCAGGAGAAACGGAGACTTGTCTTCTCTTTAAAAAATAAAAAATAATGCCAGAAACAAAAAAAAAAAAAAAAAAAGGAAAGGAAAGGAAAAGCAACCGGCAGCTCTAAATATAGAGCAGGTTTTTTTTTTGCAAAAGGTGGTGATGAAATATCTCTCTCTCTCTCTCTCTGCCCAGCCTTGCCAACCCAACGAGAGAGTTGAACTCAGATGAAAAGGCAGCCTAGCTTTAAATGACGGTTTCGCCTCTTTCTTTGGTGGTCTGACCTGGTTATCGGATCAGGGATCGCCAAGAGCCGGGAAGGAACTGAGCCGATTCCAGCTAGGCAAAAAAGCAAGTCAAGTCTTTGGTTCATCTCCAAGGGGGAGAAAAAAAAAAACCGTAGAAAGGAGAGGGGGAAATCTCGGAAAAATCCCGGACCTGCGGGAAGCTGGCTGTTCAGAGGTGACAAAAACCAGTTCCTCCGGAGACCTCACTGGGAGGCATGGCTGGTTTCCTTCTCAGCAAAGTGCCAGCCTCTTTGGCTGAAGTCTCCTCCTCTTTATTTCTTTCAGCCTAAGGAAAGGAATGAGGAGGTGGTGAGTCTCGGTTCCTCCCTCCGTCCCCCCCCTCCCAAGCTGCCCACCTCGTTATGCGGCCATCCAACTTTCTTCCCTTCCCCTCTGAGGGGAAAAAAAAAAAGGCCAGTCTTTTAAAAATTTTCGCGGGTGCCTTTATAAAAAGGCAAACCTGCTCCGTTTCTTCCGGGTGCCACGTAGGATGATCTATTCTAGAGGCATGGTTTTGTAAACAGCTCCACCAACGCATGGAATTCATTGTACATATACAAATACACACACACAGAGAGAGAGAGAGAGAGAGAGAACTCTTATTTCTTTTACACTAACTCAAATTTTTCAGTAGCAACATCTATCTATCTATTTATCTATGCATCCATCATCAATCTATCATCTATGTGTCATCTATCATCTATTTACCTACAGTATTTATCATCTATCTATATTTATCCATCTTCTGTGTATCTATCTATGTATCTATGTATCTATGTATCTATGTATCTATGTATCTATGTATGTATGTATGTATGTATGTATGTATCTATCTATCTATCTATCTATGCATCCATCATCAATCTATCATCTATGTGTCATCTATCATCTATTTACCTACAGTATTTATCATCTATCTATATTTATCCATCTTCTGTGTATCTATGTATGTATGTATGTATGTATGTATGTATCTATCTATCTATCTATCTATCTATGCATCCATCATCAATCTATCATCTATGTGTCATCTATCATCTATTTATCATCTATATCTATCTATCATCAGTCCTATCATCTATTTACTTATTTATTATCTACCTATATTTATCCATCTTCTATGTATCTATCTGTATCTATCTATGTATCTATCTGTATCTATCTGTATCTATCTGTATCTATCTATCTATCTATCTATCTATCTATCTATCTATCTATCTATCTATCTATCTATCCTAATCTTATATCTATCCATCTGTTAGTCCATCTGATCATCAATCTATCCATCTTTCTATCTCTCATCTCTCTCCTTCGCCTATCTAACCATCTGTCTATTGATCTATCTGTCCATCCATCTACTACAGTATCAACCTAAAACTGAGATATACAGACAAAAACGTGTATCGGCTTGCGTGTGCGTGTTATAAACACACACACAAAACATACCTCTGTGTCTGTAAAGAAATATAATATGCCTTCTACTTTTTTTTAGCTATATTTTTTCCTTTATATTTTTCCTCTGTATTTTTTGAACCGGCTACTGTACCTTCAAAACTCACTTTTTTTTCCCTACAAAGAAAAATGCAAATAGATCGTTTGCTCCAGGAGTTTAAACCTGATTCCCGGCTTTGCGAGGCCTTATGTCGGGATGGTGAGCTTCTGGGTCTGAATCACCCAGTTCACTCTGTAGAGCAGGAGAGGTGAGCAACAGATTGTGTACGCTCAGTTCCCTGCAAAAGCACATTTTGATGAGGCATTATTGATCTGGAGAACTTTACCCTATTCTGCAACTTGAGAATGCTGTTTTTCTGCCTACCCACACTTTCTCCCGGTCTAAAGTTCAGCGTTAGAAGTTCAAGGTGACCTTCCGAAGAATGCTTGGCTCTCTAACTTTGCTGCTCAGATCTGGGACAACCTGTCTCACCAGGTGGGGCAGACCTCACACTATATCAGTTTCCCATGGAAAACAATGACCACTTCTGCTGTTCTTCTTCATCATTCTTGGAAGTTGAGGTTCCTCAACCAGTCACCCAACCAAACCGTTCTTAGCTTTCCTTCAACCACCCAACGCACCAAGTCCTCATCCATGTCAACATCCCCGTTGCAGCCTCCACTCCAAAACAAAACAAATGGGGGGTTCTTCTAGGTTTCAAGGGCCAGCTACCCCATCTTAGAGGACCGAGGCTTAACTGGATGGGTTCTGTACGTCCTGGATCAATTCTCAAGGGGATGGACAATGGTGTTTGTGGTACATAAATAAATATTGAACCTAATGTGAATTTAAGGGCTACAAGCCTTAAGGCGGTCTTTCTCAACTTCAGCAACCTCAAACTTGCTCAAGAATTATCTTGGGGGAATTCAGGGACTTGAGGTCCATGCATCTTAAACTTGACAAGGTTGAGGAACACTTAGAGACTCTAGCAAAATTTGCAAACCATACAGTACGCAAACAGGTTGATGTGTACAGAAACCACCATGGTTTGTTCACCTAAGTTAAAAACTGTAGCATGCTTCTTGGAGGGATGGGGTGAACCCAGGATTAGGGTTTATCCAGTGAAGGAGACCATGATGTAAACACAATGTGGGAACTCAGGTCTCTTTTTAAATTAGTGGTGTTTAAGTTAAACACCACTCGTCTGAAGATAAGAGCTGGAAGATCAGCCATTGATGGAGGAATGAAGTTCTCCTTCTTCTGGGTCCTACTCTAGCTTCTGGGGTGGGATTTGAGCAAATAATGGGAGTCCCTCCATTCAGACAATCCAGAGGGAGAATCAGTGAAAACTGATCAGGCATGACTTAATGACTTAACCCTGAAAAGTATCCTAGTTATTCATTCTTGCTTTATTAAATTGGTTGGATTAATTTTTTTTTAAAGGGAAAACAAATAAGTCATATAAGTCTCAAGACAGCTCATCCTTCATGCCTCTTTGTTTGCAGATCCTAAGCAAGTGGATAAAACCCTGAACATTCAGGAACAACTCCTCATTTATAACCAGGTCCGTGTGCAGTCGTGCTCTGCTCCACTTTTACGACAGGCCGAAACAACAACAACAAAGGCAGGTATCAAGAGAAGCAATTTCGGTTGCTTGTTGCAATCCGTAGCTTGTTCGCTGGGGAATAAATCCGGGCGCTTATTTCTGGATTAAGGTGTGGGGCATTGCAACTTTACCCTGTAATCTTAAATGTGCTAAGAAACAAGTGTGGGATCCTTTCCCAAACATTCAAGGGATTGCGCAATCCCCTTGTAACAACAAACACCAGAACTAGTAACACCTTAAAAGACTGACATTTACACAACAACAAATTCTTAACAAACAATCCGAAGCCAAACACTTGGATTCTGTAGAAGCATGCAAAGAGTTTGTTTTTTAAAATGTAGAGACACCTGTACGCAGGTAAACTGAGCTAAGAGACGGAGGAGAAAGATACAGTTGTAGGAACCCACGTTGGAGGCCAAATCATGGCTTGTTTTAACTATGGCTTGTTGAATATGACCCGACGTCCGGGCTCGCTCATCAGAGCAAGCCAGAATTGGCTAGTACTAAGCCAGAACTTCTGGCTTAGTTGAGCCACCTCTATGCAGGTGGTGTACCTAGCTATGAGGCAGAGGAGAAAGATATAGCGGTGGGATCCAGGTTGGAGGCTAAATCGTGGCTGGTTTTAACCAGGGTTTGTTGAACATGGCCCGATGACTCATCCCAGCAAGCCAGAATGGGCAAGGCTACCTTAGCAGCGGGCTCCTGGGCGCGCACACGCACACACACACACACACACGTGTGAGCTAGATGCACCGACGTTGTCTTGCACCAGCCTTTTCCGGCAAGACTTGCTTGCGCTGGGGGAAACGAGGGGAAGCGATCGGGGGGTCGGAAAGAGTCCCCCGGGGGTGCGGGTGCATGCATCACCGGCTGGGGGGGTGCAACACCAGCGCCCCGACCCGAAACTTCGCCCCAGCTCCCCCTTCCCCAAGAGGGGCGCCTTTTGCACCGAGGCAGGGGCACGTGGGCACTTTGCACGCTTGCAAGCGGACCCCCCCAGCCTTCCCCCCCTCTTGGGGTCCCCCCCCGAGCCCCTCCTTGCATTGCCCCCTCTTGCAGCTTCCAATGCCCCCCCAGATCTATTTCAGGGCTCCGCTGCCTTGATTGCACCCCCTCCCCAAATTCCCCCCCCCAGGGGAGAGGTGCATCGCTCCCCCCCTAGCCACCTCATCCTCTCCCCCCTCCCTCTGCCAAGGCAGCTGGGGATGGGGAGGGGGCGGCCAGCAGCCTTGGGGAGGGTCTCTCCTACCTCCGCCGCCGCTCCAGACCTCTCTGCGGGCTGGCTGGCCAGCGCTCTACGCCAACTGCGCCCGCTACGCCGCCGGCGTAAAGGGGAAAGAAAGGGGCGGGGAGAAAGGCCCGCGGCGGTTCCAAAGCCGCCGATGCTCGAAGCCGATTGGGCAGCCTCGAATGGAGGGGAAGGAAAAAAAAAAAAAAAAAAGAAAGGGGGTGGGGAAGGCATCCGCATCTCCATTGGCTCCGCGTGACCACGACGGCGGAAGGAAGACCGGCCATTGGAGGAAGCGTGACGTCAGTCAGGCAAGAAGGCGGGGGGAAAGAGCCCCGCCTTCTGCATTGAATTTAAACTAGGAAATGCAAGGGGAGTGGGGGGGGGAATGCCTGGCTGCTTCTGCAACCGGGCGCCCTCGGGAAGATTTTTTAGAGCAGGCTTTTTATTCAATATTTATTGTGATTTTATTATTGCCTGTTCACCGCCC